AAAGCAGACACCTCCTATAATAATGACAGCCAGCCTCTGAGTTTCTCATCGGAACAATTTCTATGAATTGTTTTGAACCAACCTGCACGAGAATCTGGGTACATTATTATGTGTTTATAAATAGGTCTGTTTTCACAAAGCTCTTTCCCAAGAAAATTGCTCACAATTAATATGAAGTATTTTCACTCATTACTTTTATTATAAAAAAGAGGGATCCCGCATAGATCAGAGTCCTGTTATGCTAAGAGTTAATAAAGGGATAAGTCTTACTCTGAAAAACCTCATCTTTTGGATTTGCTCCAGACCTCTGCAGTTCCTGATTGTCTTATGCCTACCTCCAAATGAATCAGCCCCATCACTGTGTTGAGTTCTTAACTACTCCTTTTGTCACCATATTCCTGTGAGGAAAGGTAGCATTAGTAACCCCATGTTACAGATGGGGACTTGTGGTGCAGAGAGGTGAAATGTCATGCTGATGGTAACCTGAACCAGAGCAGGGGGTGGATGCCTACTCTTCCCCTAAAAGCAACACCCTGCCCACTAGGCTTCCACAGGGCTGGTGCTATGATAGTATTACTTCTTTATTCATTAATTTCCCATCAGCCTGCCTATGAAAGAAAACTCGCAGTACTATTGTTAGGTGGTTGAACAAGGGAGCTAAAGCATTTAGCTAGTATAAGCACACAAAGGGTGAAAAATGGAAGTGAGTAAAAGTGAATGAAGAGAAAAAGTGAAGGGCAGGAGCAGCATGGCTGTCAAGAAGTAGTAGGAGGGTATAGAAAGGAAACTGAAGCTTCAAGCTGACCCATAAAACTCCACAGTGTTACCAGCAACCTCACTGACTTCACCTTCAGAGATTGTGTTTTGCAATAACCTTCTCTTGTCTCATTGACACCTGCCCACTCCAGTCCTGTGGCCAGCAAGAAACCCTCCCACCTCCTTTAATCGCAGCCTTCCACACAAGGGTCTCTGCTGTCAGCCACCAGACTCTGCATGACTCACCCCCTCTGCATCTCTGCAGATACTTCCCTGAACTTTCTAGCTTGGTATGGCAAGAATAAAAGGCAAATAAATGTGGTTGCATGATGACAGGAATCAGATCTCCAGCTTTGGGATGAGATCCAGCATCTCTGTAGGAGAGTTCAGTACATGTTGTGCCTCCCTGCTCAGACCTCGCTGCCTGGGCAAGAGAAGGAGCCAGGGCAACACAGAAAACACCACACCGAGCCCAAGCTCCCTCACTCCTTGTTCTATCAGTGCAAAGAATCCCCCAAACACATTTCCCTCCACAAGGAAACGCAGTGCTAGCTTCATTATCAGGTTGGAAATCAAGATAGTTGTTAATTAAATGACTTTCCCAAATGTCACAATAAGAGCTACAGATCAGACTTGCTTCACTCTCCTGAAAGCCAGTTGAGTGTTGTCTTCAGTACACTGCTCCTCTCACCTCGTGCAATTGCACCTGCAGTCATGGCGAGAGTTGGTCTGGGTCCACTGACCTCTTCAACATGACATCAATAGAAAATTCAGTAAAAAACCTGTGGGTGTAGGAATCCTGTCCCCATAAATATTAGAAGAGGATGCACCTTGTTTAATGTCTTCACTGCCAGGAGTGGTCAATGAAGTTAGAATCTAATGAGAAATATGCAAACTCAGCCTCAGGGTACAGAAGATGCCTGGTACAAAAATAAACATCAGCTGTCAGAAATTGTCCTCTAGACAACATCCCAAGGAATATGTTTCTTCAGGGTCTCAGTTTGCTATGAAGGCTGTGTGCTTTAAAGCAAAAGGTTTGTCCCACTTACTTTCTGAAGTTTGTCACTTCCTGATAGTTTTCCAACATAAATCCAAAGGATTTCTGATTGGCCTGTTGGTTAACAACTAGAAAGTAACCATGTGATTATCCTTATCTTTTCCTAATGCTACTGATAGTTGCTTGGTAGGTTCAGAAAGCAGACACTTCAGTGACTTTTTCTCATGAGCCAACTCTTCACTCAATGTCTAGATCTGCAGTAGTTGATTAGAGTGTATCCTGCATGCTGCTGCAAGCAGGAATTGGTTTGAGGGCTGGAGAGAACTAGTTTCTAGATAGCTGAATCTGCAGGATAATAAATTCATTAATTTTCTGGAAATGACTTATGGTTCAGTTACTACAATCACCTGCATTAGCCCAGTCTGGTTGTTTGTGAACTTCTGTAGGGAAGAGGAAAAAAATCACCATTTAGACTGGGAACAGTCAGGACCAGATGGTTCTCAGGTGTGGCAACCAAATCACAAAGGCTATTGCCCCCGTGTGAAATTCGCTTGTATAGTGGCTATGAAGAGTAATGCTCCAGTAAGTGCTCTGTGGTATTTGTATAGGTTACTGCCTGCACAGAAAAAAACCCAGAGAATATTCCCTCTGTGACTCCTCTCAATCCTGAAAGGTGACAGCTTTATGAAGGTGGGTTACTCATAACGATTCTACCTTGTGAAAATTTTCCTTCTATTAAGTGTAGTGGTGGCTTTTCTATTTATGCTTCTATAGATTCAGGGGCTCTAGACCGTGTCTGCAGGTAGCAAGTCTGGAGTGTTCCCCAAGATGGCAACATTTTTTGAAATACAAAAGACATTTTTCATTTAAAGGCTGATTAATTTGTGCTGATCACAGACACACAAAAATCTCTTTCCATTGGGCTTTGTGGGCCTTTTCCATTGCTTCATGTCATGGTGAAGCCACCAGTGGCTTGGTCACAAGGTGTGAGGTCTCGGGGAGGGACTGTGGGTGCAGCACAAAGGAAGCTCGGTTTAACCTGACTTTCACATGAGCCTCTTCTGCACCTCAGAGCTTTTGCCTATTCATTGATTTCAGTGTATTCAGTGGAAATGATACATCATTTTGTGAGATGAGCTGATTCAAGGCCTTTATGGCCATTAGTGCTGTCAGACACATGCCAATGAAGCAGCTGGGGCTCTACCCAGCTATTAGGATTAACACCAACTCAAGGGATAGGCTAAGCAGGGAGCCACCCAGGGGAGCAAGCTGCCAAGAGTGTGAAAACCATCCCAGCCCTCCTGCCCACACTGCCCAGAGAGCACTATGAAGGCAAGGCTTGGGTCAAAGGGAGGCAGCCACTACTGCTGAACAGCTGTGTGGAGGAGCAGCAGCTCCTGCTCTGCCCTGCCCCAGCTCACTGCCTGAAGGACAAACAGGAAAACCCGGGTCCCACTGGCTATTTGGATATTTCTCCTGGTTCTGCTGCTTGCCCTCTCCCTCTGTTTTCTACAATACGTGCAGCAGTGCTGCACGTCAGTGCTGGCATCTGACATTTGCTTGTCAGATGCTGAGATATCTTAAACTGGCTTTGTCTGGAGAGGTCGCAATAAAATCTGAGGTTGCCAGAGCACACCTCCCTCTTCCATACACCCAGGGCACAGACAAATTAGGTGCTGACACTAGCTGCAAATTATCTGATGGCTCCAGCAACAACATGGATTACACCACAGGGTTTGCTCTGTGCTCTTGGTAAATGCTATCTCCTTGCAGAAATGGACCATACTGAGCACAAAGGGGGGATGAGGCACTGGGACCACTTTCCTGCCCAGCATGGTCTGTTCCACACAGACACAGCTCTGAAAGCCAAAGCTAGAGGTTGGAGGAGGCAGGGACTCAGGGATGGACAAGGGACACAACTGCCCCTCCAGCTGATCTCCCATCACAAGCTAACACAGGGATGCTGCTGTCTCCTTCTTATAGAGACATCAACAGCCTTTCTTTTCCTGCAGGCTGCTGGAGTTTGTAGCACTTGTGGAGTAGGGTGTGTGATAGTATTTTTCACTTGTAACACCTAGCAAATTATGGCATCAAAGAAAACAGAGCAGTGAGTGCTTGTTCGGTGTTTGAGTTCCACCTGTCCCCCTGGCTGTTGGATGATTCTGGGCTCTGAGATGGAGCTGTATGGAAAGCCAGGAGGTGCCACACAGAGCCACTGCACAGACTTCAATCAGGAATGTTTCCAGCAAAAGAAAAATGTGTTAAACTCAGCCTTTCTCACAGTCTGACAGCTCCTGATGTTCATGTCAAGAAACGAATGCAAAAAAATGTGCTCTCTCTGAAGAGAGATATAACCGAAGAATAATTAATGAGTAAGGGCTCGTACAGCACAACTTGCCCCATTCCCCATGCAAAGAGTGCTCAAGACCTTGGACTTTCAGCACCTGAAGATCCAAGATGCTGATGCCCTTCCTGCCTTTCCTCCGAAAGAGTTTGTTTTAAATACATAATAAGCCTACTTGCAACACCACCATGCCCAGCTAGCAGTGCTGTTTGACTAACTGCACTGTGTCTATTAGAAGGGAAGTCAGGGGTTTGCAGTGAAGTAGCTGCAGCTCAAATAGCAGTGTTCTGCTTATTGGAAATCAGTTCAATAAAGGAAGGAGTCACTGCCACTAAGATCAGCAGGTACTTCCCATTGGTTTTTGTAAGTACGCTGTGACCTGGAGTAAAATAAGGCTACCACAGCCAACTCTTCTGCTTGGTTTAAAGGCTTTGCTACTCAAAAGAAAAACAGCAGGAAAATAAAGAGTCAAAATGCATTTCAGGGGAAACTGCCAATGGAAGCTTCTTAACAAAACAAGCTGAAACTAATGTGAACAAGGAGCCAGCACTAGCAGTCCTTGGCATGAGATGGAAGAGACGGAGGAAAGAGGCTCAGGTACTGCTGGGCTCACACAGGCCTGGTGGGAGGGAGGGAAAAGCAGCTGGGACCAATGCCAGGAAGGGCAGTTCCCACCAGCTCTCTCCTCCATCCCCTCTACAACAGCAGCCCCCACTGAACTCACGATTCTGCCAGTTCAGCTGCCCCAGGCACCACATGTGCACTCCCACATCTGCGACTGGCCTGAGGTCCTCTAGTGCAGGACACTGACAGCGGTGCCATATGATATATGCATGGGCAAGCCAAGGTGTACTGCCTTGCCCCTTGGCATTAAACATCTGTGCAGGCACTCAATGTACGTACCTGGCTGAAGGCAACCATGGCTTGCTCAAACCTTTGCTGAATAAGAGCGATGGTGCTGAACACCGGCGGGAAGGAACAGTCTTGAGGGGCTGAAAGCAAGAATGAGTTTGTTATCAGTTCCCATTTTCCAGCAAAGCTCCCACAAAGGTGAGGGATTTGAGTATTTACAGAAGTCATTGCTACAAAGTGTATATGGGAGGAGGATAAAGTCTGTTTGTGCTCCTAAGTCCTGGATGCTGCCAAATTTCCCCTCAAGTGGCAAGGCTCTGACTCCCAGTGGTTGGCATAACAGCTGCTGCCCCATGGAGCCAGCCAGGCTCGGCAGCACTGGCCAAGGCAGGTGCACAGTTGCAGCACTGTAGGCAAAGCCCTGGGGCCACCAGCTGAGGCACCCTGTAGGTGTCTGACTAAATTAGAGCAACCTCAGCACCACAGTGGCTGCTCAACCCAAGCTCCTTTTACGGGCAGTGGGGAGACATGGACACTTGTAGGACACCATTCTTCCCTCCCCACTTCTGCAGCCAGCCTGGGAGAAGAGGAGCTATGTCCTTTTCCAGAAGTGCCCATTTCTCTGCACTGACTCTGAAAGGCCCGTGGAGCAGATGGGTTGGATACAGACCCCCACACTCTGTAATGCAAGGTGAGAGGAGGCTGCTGTTAGTGAGCCCAGCATGCAGAGGCAACCAAGCTTGTTTCAATTAGAAGTGGGTAAGCTGCCTCCTGCAAATCCATGGGGGAGCTCCCTTAAAGACCTAAAATCCCTGAAATCTGTGCTTTGGGACAGCAGGTTCTATGTGGCTGCCCGCCATCTGAACACAAGCATGAGTGCTAAGGAACAAGGCTATTTTAGGAACAAGTGACACAACAGAGGAGCATCAGAGTCAAGAAATGGCTCCTTGCTGCCAAGTGTTGACATGAGGCCAATAAAGGGCAGGTTATCACCCTTTGGGGGATGCCTGTCTTATTAAAGTCATATTTCAGTATTTCTTTGAGATACTTGAAAAGCAGGGTGATATATTTACAGAGAACTTTCTGAACATTTGGCCTCATTTACTGAGCAGGAAAAGAATGATTATCAAACACCATCTGCTTTTTATTGAACTTTGTTTCAGATTAATCAGAATTTCAGCAGCTTTTACCTCTAACTCTCAATGTTTACTCCTGAAAATTTATTAGCAGCATACCATTCCATGTGGTTTAAAATGGCAAACAAGCCTTGCTGCTGGGGTCTGCAAATCTTCTCTACCAAGATCTCACTAAGTCAGTGCAAACCAGCCCAGCACAAAGGGCAGGCACAGTGTCCTCCCTGAAGGTGTCAGAGACCAAGCCCTGTGAAGGATTATGGGGAGTCCATCCGGCTGAGACCACCCCTGTGGTGTCCCAGCCCATGTAACCCAAAATAGCAAATGCAGTTTCCCAGAGGACATGAGTGATGTTCCCAGTTGTTATTACCAGAAAAAGTAAAGCAGCAGCAGCAGAAGTCACCTTGCTCTGGCTGCAGGGAAAAGTGCTGGCAGGCATGACCATGAAGCTGCCGCAGCACTGCTTTGAGATATTAGAAAACTACTTTCTGCTAGGAAGAATGAAAGACAGGAGTGGCCTTGTATATTTACTCCTGGTTTATATCAGTTTGACACTGGTATATTTAATCCTGTGGCCTCTCTGGATGTGGGAATTTGTGTGACAGAAGTAGGTGAGACTGCTTCATACCTGCAGAGGATATGGTTTCTGAAGGCAATGCTTATTCCTGCCTGTACTATCATGGCCCTTTTTGCTGCCTACATTTTACAAATACCTAAATTTACACAATCAGAAGTCAAAGAAATGAACACTGAAATTGCTTACTATGTACATGAGTCTGTTATCAGAGCAGCAGGTCTTTTCTTTTAAGTGTTGACTCATTATTACCAGAAGGTCTTCTACACTCAGCTGCTCAACAAAAGGTCAGTACGTGACAAAGCCTGCGCTGCTCTCACAGCAGTCACTTCATAGCTCACGGAGTTAAAAGTGTTTTGGGAAAAGGTTGTTCTCTTAAGATGCTGTAGGGTGTTGTCCTCATGCTTGAGCCCCTTGGGACTCTGGCTGGGGGTAGTCCTCCAGCTCCAGTTTAAAATAGCATTTGTGTGAAAGGCACGGTCTAGCCATCACAGGTTTTGCAGTGTCAGAATAAAACACTAGCTTAGTGATACAGCAAGGGAAATATCTGTACCCTGCAAGGGAAGTGAGAATCAATCCTGACCCAGGCAGAGGCCCATTTTCTCCCCAGCTTACTCCCTTGTATCATGAGCACTGACCACATGAGCTTATAGAACTCTCAGTGTTGTCCGTCATCCTGCCTCCATTTAAACCCACAAGGACTGTGCAGTGCAGACTCCCAAACAGGATGCACATGGGAGGGCAGACACTAGTTTCTTAATCTGGTGCGACATTTGCCATCACATGGCTCCAAAAGGTTGGCTGGGAACCTTTTCTGAATCTGCCTAGGACCAGCCAGGCACATTCTCTGCAGAGCAGGCAGGAGATGCTCAGGGAAACACAACCTTCCCAACTGCCACCCAGGGTGGGATGGGGGTTACAGGTGGTGGCAGCATGATGCTCATGGTGCCTGGATCGATATGCCACCAGGATGGCGAGGAAATAGTGCTGCACTGCAGGGAAGAATGGGTTTGTTCCTCTCCCCAAACTAGTGTAAAGCAAATTATTCCTATTGCTGTTATTCCTGTTGTTCTAGAGTTGCCACAATTTCATCTATTAAGCACATATAGCGAAGATTAAATGAGCTATATATTTCAAGTTACATATATACACACATGCACATTTTGACACCAGTGAAAATATCAGACCTGATGTACCTCCTCTCACTCCAAATACAAGGGATTTATTATTTGATTTATTGAACCAAATAATGTTAGGTCATGAAGAAACACTTTATTGCCAAGTGTTGCCACTACTTTGGTGGAAAAAAACTAAGTGTGGTTTTTATTGAAAGACTGAAGCAGGTGCAGAGAAGACAAATTAACTTTGCCCTGTGCTCCAAGAGCTGGGAGAATTTGATCACATTTATGTCAGTATTGACTATCAGTTACATCATACTTTCTCTCTTCAGGGTTTTTTCCTCCACTTAACAGAAATCTCTGCTTGTTTCATGGAGGATATCACAGTTTCTGCCGCAAGTTTAACTCCAGCCCTTCTTACTCTAGCCTGTGACCTGCTCTCATTCTGAGGCACACAGCAGATAACACAAGGATGGCACCTGCAGATGGCAGAATTTTAGAAGCACTCCCTGGGAGCCATTTGCTTAAGGAAATCACCTACATGCACCACACAAGGGCTTCATCCCAGACACCCACAAGGAGAGCTGCCCAAAGACTCAACCATAACCAGAAAAACAGGAGGGAAAGTCTAAAAAATATCCCACTGCTCTGCAGTGGTGGGATATAGGTTCCTGAGAGTGCTGAACAATGCTGGCACCAAATTACTTCCTTTTTGAAACTGGAAGAGAAGTCAAATCTCCTTTCTTATCTCAAAGCACTCCCCCCAAAAAAACCTGAAAATCCAGAATTCAGTCATTCTTCCTCAGATGAGCTAACTACATCCTGCTGGTTTATAGGAGCAAATGCATTGCTTGTTTTTACTCATTCAGAAAGTCTTTCAAAGTGTGTATACAGGGACATGATTTTGCCATCTGAAGAGACTTTTAGGTGGCCAGATTCTTCAGCAAGCAAGGGCCAGCACTAGCTGAAAACTAATCCCATTTCTAAAACCTTGGACTTTTGTTTCTTTGTGACTTTAAGAAATGCCCCCCCATCTCAAAACATACTTCTACAATCCTTAAGGACAAACTAAAAGCCTCTTTGCCCCCTTCACCACACTAGGTGAGAGTCCTTGAGAAAACAGCAAACTTCTGTTCTTCCTTCTTCTCCTGAAAAAATCCATCACTGGCAGAAACAGAGATATTTCACACAGTTCACATTAAATAGTCACTTAAACCAAACTGCATGAGACACCAGAAGCAGAAGCAGGGAGGGAAGCCCAGGAAGCTTCCAGGAGGTGTGCTGGTAGGTAAACCTGCCTTTCCTCAACCAGCTTTTCCCAGGGTACACAATGAAATTCCCAGGGACTTTCATTTCTCTGGCCACATCTTGCATGTGCACATGCAGAGGAGGCTGGGGCAGGGGCAGTTGTGACGACCCCAGCACATCAGACCACCAAAAAGGGAAGAAAAAGGGGCTCCTGAGGGCACTGAGTCATTTAAATGAGCTTTTGCCTGATTTTCTTCCCAATTTTGTCTCTTGCCTGAGGTCAGCAGCAAGGGGGGATGAGAAGCACGGAGATGCTGCACTGCCAAAACACACCACCTGCAGATGCTGCTGGTTTCATGGCTCAGGCTGTGCCTGTGGTAGCCAGTGTTGCTAATCCTGAGGCAGGGCTCTGCTCCCCACTAGGAACAGCCCAGGATGTTGGTGCTTCAAAGAGGGCAGTGGTGGAGCAGGGCAGTGCTACTTGGCATGGGCCAAAGCAAGTGTCAGGGTTGGCTTTAACAGTTTATGTGTGATATTCTAATTTATAATGATTATAGATAATTATGCTGCAGTGCCAGGGAGAATTCTCAAGTGCTTCTTAATCTATTAGTGCAGGCAAACCCTGACTGGTGCATGCCCTGGCTTTTTCTACAGTCAGTTCCAACTAGTTGACATTCCAGATGGGCAACCCTCTGTAAGTATTTCCCAGTGGCACACAGATAGGTGGCATTGTCCATCTCCTTTGTCCTTCATGGACCAGGGCATGAACTTCCTGGGATCTGTTGGGTGCTCTGCTCCCCCACTGCACCCAGCAAGAGCTGCCCTGCAGATATTCCCTTAGGTGAGGGGTTGGTTTGGCTCAATCAGGCAGGCTGGGAAAGAAATTACAAATTTACACAATAGGAGGATTTCTGGTCTCAGTTATATCAACGTGGGCAGAGAGTGGTCTCTCTGAAATCAGCAGCAGCACTCTATTAAACTAGCCATCCCAAGGTGTGGGTCCA